AGATGGAGCTTCCACGACCAATTTTCATCCAAAACCACACCTAGAAAGTTTTTAAAAGTTTCTCTTTTTATATTACTATTATTTATTTTTAGGTCAGGTAGTTTAAGAGGAATATTTTTATTTTTATTTGGTTTACGAAATAAGATGAATTTGGTCTTTTTGACTTTCAAAGAGAGTTATTCCTGAACCACTCGTTTATTTTATGTAATTCTTTGTTAATATCTGTAAGATTGGCTTACAAGTTACTAAAGACTTGATCGAAAGTTTACAATATTTTACAATTTTTTCTTAATTTAAAAACGTTATTGATTAATGAAGGACAAAAAGTAAAGAAAATTTCTTTTTCTAAATTTAAGCTATTTTAAAATATAGTTAAGAATAAAAATAAAAAACTAATTGTTTCGAGGTCATAAATTCAACCGTCATATTTAAATAAGTGCTTTTAAGACTTAAGTCTCACTCGTGACAACCTTGCGAGAGCACTTTTGACCTAATAAATCAAAAATTAAAAAATTAGACTATACTTTAAATAAGTTATTATATATATGTATAGGGTATTTTTCAACCAATACTGTCAAGTAGTGTGCGTGTATGTATTAGGGTACGCCATACTTTAAAAAAAAATTAAACTAAAAAAACAACCATTTGGGGTGTGATTTTATTCTGTGGTATGTATTTTTAAGCAACATTGAAATAAAACCGGATCCGAGACCGGATACCCGGCACCGAGTTTGTTAAAAAAAGTATGAATGAAAAAAAAATGTAAACAAATGAAAAATATTTTAGACAACACTTTATTGCTGTATGTCATTTTAATTTTCTTTATGGTTTTTTGTTTGTGACAAATGAAAAACGTTATCAGCGTTCGAAATAATTAAAAAGTAGAAGATCAAATAATTTTTCCGACTTTAATTGATTGAAAACTTCATTTGAACAGAATTTAGATTTTTAAACAAAACTAAAAAGTAATTGAAAATCTAAAACTATGCAATACTTCTTTGTTTTTAGCAGCCGTGGCGTAGTGATAGATTGCTTGCCTCAGAAACAAGGGTGAGCACGTCCCCTCTCGTTTTTGAGGATGTACTCCCTTCCCCTACTTTTTTTTGTGTGAGCCTTCTTTCTTTCTTTTTTTATAAAGAAATTGACAATTTTTATTAGAAATCGAGAAACTTTTTTCAAAATGAAACGATGTGCCCCCAACTTTTAAAACCGTGTGTATATTTATATGTTGTTATTTATTGTAAACGATCATTTAGCAAAAACCTTATTTAAAAACGACCATTTTTTGCAATTAAAATTGCAAAAAACGTATCTTTCTCTCACGTTCTAAAGAATAAAAAAAAGCAATTACTTGTTGTTGTTTTTTTCATTTTTTTATTTTTATTTTTTTCGTACTCTCATATTATTTCGTTTTATTTTATAGTTTTTAGATATGTATAAATCTGTTTCCTTGTTGCAATATTATCTGCTATCAACGTTTTGCAATATAATATAGCAAAAATATATCCGACAACGTAATTTAAGCAAGACAGCCTAGATTTAGTACATAGGAATTATCAACTTTTGAAACTATCAAGAAGAAGTTGAAACACTATTTTTTATCTAGGTAATAATATTTCTACACAATTTAAAGTAACAATAAAACAAAATTTGTTTTGTTATTGTTATTATTTATTAGTTACTGCACTTAAAGGTCTATTGGAAATATTTTTAAAAATTTTTTGGTGCCAGGTACATCAACAAAATGGCCGATTCCGGGTGCCCAATAAAACCGCCAAATTACCGGGTCCCCGCTTCCGAACTGGGTACCCGGCACATCTATATTATAAACTCATAAGATTGCTTTTGCTACATTTATGGTAGCTATACCATTAAAAAGCGACAAAGAAACATCTTCGATTTTGCTGAAAAATTATTTTGTCTATTTTGGTATAAAGTTAGGCGATCAAGATAAGTCTCGGGCTCCACACAAAATTTGTTCAATATGTGTTGAAGAACTGAGGCAATGGTTTCAAGGTAAAAAGCACTCAGCAACTCAGACCACAAATGGATACTGTGTGGGGATTTAAAAGTTATTTCGATGCTGCACTGTCAACATAGTGGCTAAATAAAATTCTCTTGCTTTCTCTGTGAATGGGACAGTCGAGACAGAAAGCAGCACTACGAAAAAAAGTTTGGCCCTTGAGAAATTCCTTGAGAGAGGTAGAGGTTAAAATTTTGAGAAAAAAAGCCTTGTGGATCTCAAAAAAGTGTTACTTCTACCACTTCATATTAAGTTGGGGCTGATGAAACAATTTGTTAAAACATTGCCAAAGAAAGGGAGACTTTCAAATATCTTTGTGGGCAGTTTCCTAGTTTATCCGAGGCAAAGCTAAAGGAAGGAATCTTTATTGGACCAGACATTAGAAAACTTATGAGAGATCCTAATTTTGTGGACGAAATGGAAACAAAAGAAAAGGCAGCATGGACATCCTTTAAATTAGTTGTTACCGGTTTCCTAGGAAACAACAAAGATCCAAACTACAAGACCATTGTCACAGACATGCTCGGCAACTTTAAGAAGCTGGGCTGTAACATGAGCATTAAAGTTCATTTTCTCCATTCACATCTTGATTACATCCCTGCAAACCTTGGTGATGTAAGTGAAGAGCAAGACGAAAGATTTCACCAAGACATCAAGGAAATGGAAAGAAGATATCAAGGAAGATGGAACGTCAACATGATAGCGGACTATTACTGGATATTGAAGT